GTAAAATACCCATAAAGAGCCGTTACTTTAAATAGGTAATGCATATTTGTCTATAAACTATACTCCTTAAAGTTTATTAATTGTTAATTGATTTGTAGTATTTTGTCATTCATTGGACATGTAGTACAAAGGACAAATTTGGTAAAAAATTCTAATTTTACTCCCTAAAATAATATTTTTAATCATTTGGACTGAATTTGCAAAGGATTAGTAACCTCAGGGGAGGTCAGTGTAATTTTTCAAACCACATGGGAGGTCAGTGCAAATGTCAGAAACCTCAAGGGAGGTTTCTGCAATTATCCCTAAAATTAATTTTGTGATATGTGTATATATATATATATATATATATATATATATATATATATATATATATATATATTCTACAAATAAAATAATCTTTGGATAATTTAGATTCCAAATATTATATTTGATCAGGTTAGACTATATATATTTTTCTTTTCCTTCTAATCTCTAGTAAAAAACACGTGTATGATGCCTTAAAATTTTATAAAATTATTACATAACGTGAGAAAAACTTCGATTAACATTTCATTTTTCAAACATATATTTACATATATTCTGATAAACTATTGGCCAAAAAAAAAATCAAATTCTATGCCTAGTATCTTTTAGGAAAAAAGTGAAGGGTAAAATTGGAATAATAAAAATGGCCACGTTACAAGCGTTATATACTGGCACAGCTGTTTTTAGCGCGTCCTGGACTAGTCATGGCTATTATTTTTTCAAAAAATCTTTAATCTCTTTTTTACTTTATATAAATCAAATTATTATAGTATATTTTTTTTTACAAAAATTTTTAAAAATAGCAATTCAAACGGATAATTTGAAAAAAAGTTCCAAGTGAAAGTCCTAGGTTTGCTGGAGAAAAATGTGAAGAGGTATAGAGACGAGGGAAGAGTGACTGATGGCCATTTTGAGCTATTTGTGGGTCGGACTTTTTTTTTTTTTTTTTAAAATAGTTATGGGCTGATAACTATTTTCATGAGTTGTAGTCTTATAATATCTGAAACCTTAAGGCATTTGGTGAATAGGTTGTGATCCCATGATTTTCACAGTCAATCATATTATTTGTTTAAGAATAATGTTCATTGGTTTTCTCAAAAATTTTTTTTTACGTTTTTTTATTAATATATATTTTAATTATTTTTTATCTTACATAAATCAAATATGTACAATATAAATTTTTATAAAAACTTCAAAAAATAGTCTAATAAGGCTTTCCTTTTTTTTTTTTGTCAGCAACGGTAAATGTCCTATAACCTAATCTAACCTAATTTAGGGGGAAGGGATAAGGGGAGATGGTCAACTAAAATCAATCACATATTGTGACAAATTTTGAGAAAGACAGAGGTTGAACCCTGACCTCCGGCATCACAAAAAAAGGTGATGAAGACGGGAGCAAATGGCCAGTGGCTAATAAGGTTTTCCTTGCCTTTGCCCAAAAAGCACAAGATGAAGTGAGACAGATAGAGAGATATCTCATTGAAATAGGACGAGACTGATTCATAGATGCGGGAAGAAAAGGTTTAGGTAGCCCTTAGTCTATGATTTCAAGTAGGTTCTACAATTCCAAGGCTAATTTCTCAGATTATTTGTATTTAAAAAAAACAACCGTCAAATGCACCTCTGACAGGGGTTGTTTCTAAATATATAGCGGCCGTGCTGACTCAGCACGGCCGCATAACTAAAAATTCCACCGAAATCTTCTATGCAAAAAATTCATTGGTGCACAGTAGGTGTCAGACGGGAACGTGCTGACTGGGCACGTCCCCGTCTGACTAAAAGCTGACTGGCCTGGGCATTTGTCAGACGCGGACGTGCTGAGTCGGCACGTCCCGCCTGACAAATGCTAAAAAAAAATAGTTTTAACGTCCGCGGCAATTGGTTTCTGCATTAAATGAGATGTCTCTGGCCTTCTGCCAGCTAAAGTGGATAACTAAGACAGGTGTTATACATTCAATAGAGTGTTATTACATCTGCCAATAGATGGAATGGCGTCTGAAAAGTGAAATTCCTTTTTCTTTATTCCTAGAACCGACTTTCTTCCGTCAAGTTAGGGTTTGACGTCTATTGCTCCAACTCATACACAAGCCTGATTATTAGATTTTGTTTGGAAAGTCATTTTTTTTGTCAAAAACAAATTTTTACGTTATTTTTAGTAATTTTTTTATTATATATATATTAAATTATTATATTATATTTTTTAATAAAAATTTTAAAAATTTCCACGCATCAAAATTTCAATGATGTAAGAGAGAATAGAATCCGCAATAAATGTTGATATTTATTATTTTGTTTGGATAGAGTATTATTTGAAATTTTTTGGATAGAATCCGTAAATAATTAAATTTTTTGACGTGGCACAAGCACGACCACCTCCAATCCTATTTCCCAATTGTAGCTGACAAAGAACTCAACGAGCCGCACCAGATAGTTTCTTCTTCTCATCACAAAAACCGCCAAAATTACAAGTGTCCCATACCCAAGTGGACCCCACTAATCCTATCCCTACCCATGGGAATCATCGCCCGTCCCTCAACCTCACTTCACATGCTCCCCTCGCCCGTCCCAGGCCAGTCAGCTTTTAGTCAGACGGGGACGTGCCCAGTCAGCACGTCCCCGTCTGACACCTACTGTGCACCATTGAATTTTTTGCAGAAATGATTTCGGTGGAATTTTTAATTATGCGGCCGTGCTGAGTCAGCACGGCCGCTATATATTTAGAAACAACCCCTGTCAGAGGTGCATTTGACGGTTATTTTTTTTAAATACAAATAATATGAGAAATTAGCCCAATTCCAATGAGTGGACAAAGGTAATTACTGGTCTATGAAAGAGTGGAAGAATTGAGCCAAAGAAAGGCAACTAGCCTTGATGTCAGGAATGCCCTCTTCAAAAGGAAAGAACGCGCTCTCGTCTCGATTGGTCTGAATGACTCGTTCTCATGCCTTGCACGTTCAAAAGCGAGTTCACTTTCCCTCGCTTCAAAGACTAACTTCACTAGGTCAAAAACCTATCAGGCGCAGAAGATTAAGGCGGAATATAAATGCAATTCACCAAGTGGAGGTAACGGTTGACCATGTAAGTATGAGAGAAGATCAATAAGAAAAAGTGTTGCTAGTGTTGATTTTGCATATCTTTTCAACAAGTGAATTTTAAATTTCAAATTAGATCACGTGGCATATATATGTATATCTCGTATATATATTGACAGTATATAAAAAACTTATCTTTAAAGTAATTGGCTCGAAACTAGGAATTCTATAACGAAAAGAAAATGTGCTGGGATATGAAATATAACAAAACTAGTAGGACGATGATCTTTAGGAAAAAAAATATTTTTCATTTTTTTATCATGTGCAAATTTAGTTATCCAATAGTAGCAATTCTTTTTTTTTTTTTTTTAATTTGGAGAAGAACATCTTCATTCACTTTCTTATATCGGTGTAGGAATATAATAAGAGTTATGGTACTATTACATTTTTATGATATAATATAATGATTGTGTTCAAATAACATATTTTAGATTTCTTCATCTACTTTTTTTTTTCTCCAATTAGATGGTACGGACGATTTAACCAATTTCTTCTTCTACTTAGGTCAAATGAATTCCATGTGTTTCATATTCTAATTTTAGTTATACATTACAAGAGTGTGAGTAGTCAAGGAAAAATAAAGACACTAGAAAGCAACACAACACGGAAAAATAAAGACACCAGAAAGCAACACAACAAGGCAAATAGATGATGGAGATACCAACAAGTCAATTTTTGTTTGTGGCAAAGGGAAAAACCCACAAAACGTTTTCACATAGTTGATATATTACAAACCATCTTTTAATTTCTATTTATAAGTATAGAGGAGATTGTTTTCATCTATAAAGATCAATTAGATTTCTCAAACTTTATGGGAAAATAAAAAATGAATTTGTTGCTAACAATGAGAGATTATTTCCTTCTTCTTTTCCCTTTTTTTTTTTCCTAACAATGAGGGATTTGGAAGACCCCTACCACTTTTTTTTTAATTACATCAAAACATTATATAGAAGGGGATGGACATTTTTTTGGTCTTTCTCTTGTACCGTCTAAATATTACATACAAGTCAAATGGTATAATATTTTCTCCTACATGAATATAATGCTAGTACTAATAAGCTAATAAACAAGATAGGAATAGATGGAGGGCTTGGACTTTAGCCTATTTGAATTAATAATATATAGTACTTTTCAAAAATACTTTTATTAAACAAGTTCCTATCTTTTTTGTTATCCCCACACTACAACCAAAATGTGTTTAAAGTAAAACAAAAGTATCTCCTTAATTCTTCCATCATCTATCCTCTCAAAATTAGAATTGTATTGCTTTGTGTTTCAAGTTAGCATAATTCAGATGGGCATCCCAAGTTCCATATACAAAATTATCTAATTAAACACCCTTTTCTAAAAGATTGTATCCATGCATAATCTTGTATTCTTAGTTGTAACATTTATTATTTCCCTTAATATTAGTTATTTTTCCTATCAAACTTCACTTTTTCTTTAAAAAATATATATATAATTAACACTTATATTTCATGATAATGAGTGCTCTTGGACAAACACTCACGATTTTTTATTCCTTATCTAATTGACATAAGAAAAATTTGCATTTAACACAGTCTCAATCTTCCCTTAAAAAATCTTTACCTTTTGAGAAATTCAATAACCTAATATTGTTGAGATGTAATGAGGGCATTTTACTGAGATAGGAGGGTAATTTAGTAATTTTACTTGCTCAAAACGTAACACCAAGTCGGCCATCACTGCCGAAAGCTAAAACCAAACCTGTCCAAATTATTTCCGCAAGGACCACAAATCAAAGGGACTGGGCTCAAACTTTTGGCGGGCCTTATCCAGACCAACCCAAGCAACCAACTAACGGAGCCCATCGAATTTGTCTTTTGTATTTTAATAACTTCAATCATTATTATTTATCCATCCGACTATCCACAAAGTAATAAATTACCTTTTCTGCCGCCCATGCCTTCACTTTCTCTCCCTGAAAAATCAAAAAGGAAATTTATTATATTGTCTCCCTAAATTTTCTCAAGCGTTTTTAGAATCTTTGAAAATCCAGCAGCAAAAGGACATAGCAGTCTTCAACTCGAACACTCCAATTCTTTCAGGTGAATTTTCGTTGTTGAACAAAATCTTTTGTTCTATGATCGTTAAATTTTACGTAGACACATGTTTGCATGCGTGAGGTTAATTTAATTGCATAAGAATCTTGTGTAGAAGAATTTGAGGAGTTGCTAGGGTTTTGTATTTGTAATTAATCACGTTTATTTGTGTTTGCTTGTGTGAAAGGTATGATTCTTTGTGAAGTTGATTTGATGTTTGGTTGTTTGATTTTAGTTTTGGTTATGATTCTGAAACCTGAATTATTCAAAGAATTTTGATTGGAAAAAGTGATTCTTTGTGAATTTTATTGTTTTTTTGGATGTTTGATTATTAAACTGTAGTGTGTTTGTCATTCTGAAACCTATATATAGTGAAAGAAGGTGGCAGTACCTGATTGTGGGCCTAAAAGTATTGCATGTATGAAATTTATAGTCTTGTGTGATTAGTAGGTTGTTATCTTCATATACTTGAGCAGAGAGAAACAAAAAAGGCCCATAGCATGATTTTAATTGTGTTTTATGTGTTGTTTTCCATGGTTTTCATTGATTTATTTGCATGGAGAGCATATGACTTTGCTTGTGCTGTGGTTGTATTTCCTATCCCCCACATCCCCTGGATTTCCTTGTTGTATATGTGTATTTAAATTCTGGATAAGGATTGATGTTTGTTAAGTTCATTGAATATTAGTTTCGAGGGACTTAAAGACTGAGAACTGTGGATAAAACTTGAGAAACGGGCACTTGTGAGAACCACGATGGAAATATGACAGAAGATTGAGGATATTGTTATGAGCATTAAAAGTCTTATTCCTTGGTTAGGTATGTGAAGTGCTAACGGGTGATTGTAACGTGGCGGGGGTTTTGTTTACATGTCAGGAAAAAAGAACCCAGGATTAAATTGGAAGAGTAAAAGGAAAACTGTGATGTAGTCAGGAAAAGAAAATTCGGGACCTTATGGTTTATCACAAGATTTCAATCGAATTGAAAGAAAACGAATTGTACATTCTTTAGGTGGGGTTAGGTATATATGAAGAGTGAAAGAAAGAACACTATATGTTGTAAGATGTGTAATCAATTCAAGTTTGAAGATATAGAATCCAGTTTTGATTCAGATTTATGATTTTTATAGGAAAGTAATCAGGTTAATGATTGAATAACCAGGTCTTAGGCATCAGGCCATCCTTTTTTTTTTTTTTTTTTTTGTTATCCAACGTCACTTAAAAGGCTAGCTAGTATTCTTTGGTTCTGATTTTATTGTACTCTATGGGAACCCCAGATTTTTAAGTAGAAGTACATTTATTGCATGTCGTGTCATCCAAAAGATGTTTTTGTAGCTAATCTTTCCAAAATCTCTTACATGCAAGTAAAAAGCACTGTTAATGTTTGACTTAAAACTTTTATGACTACTTGCATTTGGACAATTAGTGTGGGACATTTAATAAAAAGGAGGAAAATTGAAAAGGAAAAAATGAGTTTGATTTTCTTTGTCTTTATTCTGAAAATGAAAAATCTATCTAAGAAACAGTACCTGCATACGTGTCACATCCTAAGGTTAATTAACGGAGCACTAACATATTTTCTCGACGATTCAAATCAAGACATCCCACAAGCATAAGGGGACAACAAAATGAAATCAAAGATATTTTTCATGTCTTTGGTTTAGGATTAAGTGGTGCTTCAAATGTTGGAATAAACAGTGCTTTAAATGTCTTCTTTGATGTTTGAAATGATGATGAAATTTTAATGGGCTTGAGTAATGGACTTGCAGATATAAAATCTGATCAGATCAATTCCAGGTTAGATTGCAGCGGGATCAGTTATTTTAACTAACCAAAAATAGAACATTATGATGCCACCTCTTTTTACATTTTTAGTGTTGTATCCAATTTCTCTTTTGTCTTATAGGACTAACCAAAAACAGAACAGGACGATGCCACCTCTTTTTACATTTTCAGTGTTGTATCCAATTTCTCTTTTGTCTTATAGGACTAACCAAAAACAGAACATGATGATGCCACCTCTTTTTACATTTTCAGTGACAGCGTACCAATTGCTGTCATCTTTTAGGACTAAGTAATTGGCATGTTTGTTTCTGATACAAAATCAAGGATGTTGAGCATGGGTTGATTCATAATGATTTTGTGATCCATGTTATCTTTGTTGCTATGCTTATATCAGCTACACTTATTCCGTTATTAATGAATAATGTGGATTTGCTTTGGAATAGTGCATTTTACTGTGGAATACATGAATAGCAGGTGGTATACGGTTGGTTGTCTGGATTTGCATCAAGGACATTGGAACACAAATTGGTTCATTAATACCCTGGTATGAAAGGTAAAGGACGTTAAAATATTTGCAGCATTCATCCAGCTGGAAACTTGAATTATGGCTAGTGGAGAGGTTAGAAAAGTTGAACGTCAAGATATACAGTTGGTAAGTTGTTCAGGTTTTAGGCTTCAGGTTTCTTACCCATTTATTTGCTAAGGAGTTAATTCTACATGGTCAATTGATGGTCTTTGTATATCTGAATCATAAATACATCTCCCTTGTAGGACTTACTGTATGATTTACTCTTCTCTCTCTCTCTTTTTTTTGGGGGGGGGGGGGGAATCTTTTCCTCCTAAAGTGTCTGGTTTGGCTTGAATCAGTGTTGAATTACTTCTTTGAACTTTGTGCGACTGTTTAGGATGTGCATATTGTTCCCAACTTGTTCCAGGAGTCATAGACAATCTCTAGCATCAAGCTTCAATTCTGATTAGTTATTTATTTATTGGTTTGGTCCCTAAAGTTTTAAACTGTGGCTTAATGGTGAATTTTTTGTTTATAGTCAGTATGCAGTGACCCAAACTTAGTTTATTCAATTAGTGTATGAGCACCAGCTTGCGCACATCTCCCATTTTCTGCACTTTAGAAGAATATTTCGGCTATCATTGTACCTGTGGTTGAATGTGTTGCTTTTTCCACTCCTTTGAAGGATACTTTCTGCCCTTGTATTGCATGGCTTTCATACACACTGCTGCGATGTTAAAGTGAAATATCGCATATTCAGATGTATACAACTTTGTATGATATTGTGTACATTATCGTGTGAACAAAGCCATGACTTAAAAATTTCACCCCTGCTGTGCTCCTTTAGGAGATTAGTCTTGCGTTTAAGCTGAAGCACATTTGAAATTGACACAAGTTAGATATGCAAATGAGCTAAGTAAAGAGTCAATTTCTTTTCTTTCTTTTTTTTTTCTGATAATCTAGACTCTCTGCAAGCTTTACATTTCATTCACTGATGTGCTTCACTTGTCCTTCCTTGTTTTGGCCTTCTTTGGGATTTTTCCTTTTTTTTTTTTAATAATTTTGGGGGAGGTATTTTGTCGACCTACTTTTCTGAAAAGGAGGAATTGTGAAAAATAATGACAAAGTGTTGCTGGCACCAAGTTATTGTATTGTTGGATTTTCTGGACAAAGACATCTTGTTTTATGCATCTGTCATTTAGCCATGTGCTACTTAGATCATAAGGCAGCAAGCTTAACCATCCTAAGGTATGACTAGTGTCTTGACTGTTCTATCATGTGTTTCTTTCCATGTGAATGAGACCGAATGACTTCTAGTTTAATAGACTCTTTTAATTCCTACTTTTAGTTGCCTGTCTTCAAGGTGTGTCATTTTTACACGTATATCTTTGATGGCAGGTGCAAGATCTTATTGAAAGATGTCTTCAGCTTTACATGAGCCAGAAGGAAGTAGTCAATACCCTTCTACATCAGGCTAAAATTGAGCCTGATTTTACTGAACTAGGTAATGTAATTTTGTCCCTGAGATTCCTCTACTAGCATATTGTAATTGAACTATGTTCAGTATATATAAGGAGATTAATGCTTGTCCCCATGAAAGGAAATGAAAGGATTTTGTCCTTTTGGTTTCTGATGGCAAATGCATTAAGTCTCAAGATATTCTTGCTTCTTTATCACTTGAATGCCTTGACATGTCCTTTCCCTATTGCGTTGAATTCTTTTTATCCTGATGACTGATGGTCTTGAATGGTGAATATGCATATTGCCGATTTTTATGCCTGTTGAATTTCAAATTTATTATCTCCCCTATCCTTTTGCTCTGCCCGGAAAATTTAATCTGTCTTAGAAGCATATCTTAGGGGAAGGAGTTCTGTGCTACGTTATAAGACTAACTGAAAATTAACCTGTGCAAAATTTAAAATAGGAACACTTGATAGTCAGCTCTAGGAGGTTCTGGTTTTGATTTGATTTTTAAAAAGTTCCTTTTTTTTCATGGTTTAGATAACGTGATTTATTCTTACAATAGCTAAGATGGTGGGATGCACCCATCTGAAATCAATGTATATCTTCGTAATGCTAGTGGTCGTGAAAGCAAATATTTCCTCATATTGGAGGCATTTCTTTTGTCATGGACAAGTTCCATAATTCAAAGAAGGAATAAAATGCTTAAAGAAAAAGAACAAATAGAAGGAATAAAAACATGAGAGTATTTGAAAGGTTTTAATGCCATGCCACTTTTGCTTGAGATTTGGCATCCTTTGGTGAGATACGAACTTTTATTTTTGCCCTTGCATAAGATGAATATGCTGTTTTCCAAGTCATTTTCAACTTTGTTATCAGACATAAAGGGGGAAGAAAGGGGTTTTTTTTGGGGGGGGGGGGTTGGGGTTTTGTAGAATCAGACTATACTATTCTCAAGGAAAAGAGCGAGGTCTTGTTCAAGCTTCAAGTCCTGCTTGTTTCAGTCCTTTGGAAGGGTGTTTTGCTAAAATGTGCAGTCAAAATGTAATTTCCTTGGACGCAGTTTGTTGTTAGCCATTATTTCTATCGTTTATGACTTGTAGGTTTTCATCTGTAGGGAAGGTTTTGGGAAGGGAAGCTTGATGGCAGTGTTCCGGAGTCTTATAGCTGGCAAATTAAACCTGAACCCAACAACCTGCCCAAGCCACCTGCAAATACAGAAGGTTGGGTCAGTTGGGTTATGGGTTTTGGGTATAAGAAACCCAAATCTTTTCTAAGTGGGTTGGATTTTTAATTGGGCGGCCAAATAAGTCAAATATAAAATCCAAGTATTCATAAGAGCAAATAAAAAATCACACACCAATTGCCATTGCCAAGCAGATTCGGGTTTCAGGAGCCTTTTGTCGGAGGGAAACGAAAAGCTAAAACAAATTTCAAACAACCATACACCTGAACCACCATTTCCTGATCCATGTTTATTGCAGTCTCTTTAGATCAAATTCTGCCAACCATTCACTCTTTCTCTACTTACTTGGTTTCTTCCATAAGCAAGTAGCTACTTCGCTCTTGAAACACACTGACTTTTTCCATTTTTTTTGTTTTCTTCTTTTCTTTTTTCCATTTGTGGAAACAGGAAAAGTGGTAAAGCCAAGGTAATTCAGTAAATTATTTTTCATCAAACCAGAATTGCTAGCCCCCATATTAATGGATGGATCAAATGCAATACAAAAGGCTTTACAGATGAATAGGGAAATCTAGAAGTACATAGGTCAGCATCCTATTTCTGAAGTGTGAAAATCTGGTCTCTGTGTGTGTGTGAATAGTAAACTGTGTCGGACAGAGTGCAGGTATTTTTTCCAAGCGAACGTGTGTTAAATGATGTGTTTATGAATGTAAAAGTGTGAATGTCGAAAGTGTATAGTTATGTATGGTGGGTCATAGTTGGGTCTATGGGTTTTGTGTTGACCCAACTAGACCCAACCCAAGATTAACCCAATTCATAGTTGGTGGCTTGGGTTATGACCCACTTGATTAAAACCCAATATTGACCTGCCCAATTGCCACCCTTAGTACTTTATGTCATGTTGTTGGTCTGTGTGCTCAATCTGGACAAAAATTTTTAGTTCTGAACCTTGCAAAATTACAAATGTCAAAGTTATGTTAGATTAGTGCTGGTGTCTTGCTTCTGAACAAAAGCTTTTACCATGAATTTTAGTTTCCTGCAGATTGTGATCTTACAGTTGCTCAGTCTTTGGATTGATGGAGTTAATAATTCGAATGCAGATTTTCTGAGAAACTTTTCATTGTTTTGCCTTTTTCTTGAGGTTCCGGTGGGCAATTTAGCAAAGTGGTTACTTCGTAATCTTTTTTTTTTTTTTTTTTTTTTTTTTCGGCACAGATTGAAACATTGGATAATGCAGGAAGAAATTAGTGATTTGGCTGATAAACATGTCAAATTAATTTTGGATTTGACAAATTGGTGCTTTTAAGATCAAGTTAGTATATATTTTAATTGTTGAAGGCCAAACGATTGCCTGTAATATTTATTTAGAAGCTGGAATTGGTATATAAGCTCAATTAGAATTGTAATCACAGTTAATTTTGTTAATAGAAAATCTAATGCCATCACATTGCAGGAAAAAATTTCTCTAGAGTGAAGATGCAGATGCTTTGGAGTCTGCTTATTAGCCTCATTATCTGCTTCCTCTTAACTTAAGGCAAACAGACAGATTCTTCTTGAAAAGAGAACTTTGGCAACAAAAGTAAGAATTGCTCTCCATATAGTAAAGCTTGATTTCATAACGGCATTCTCAAGTCCGGAATGCTGACCCATGCTTGTAAAGGCACTTTTATACTGATTTACAAAAAAGATATACAGTCGCATCTATGTGTTATTTGAATCACATCTCCTCAAGGGGCCTCAAAATCAAGCCTAATCTGAGACTGGCCTCCATTTTAATACTATACGCATTTTTAAGAACAAACATAAGATCATCACTGAGCTTGCTGTCATATTTTGTAATTTATAATGCATGCGAGACTTTGCTTAGTTCAATAAAAGGCAATAAAGTTACAGTGGTAGGACATAAATGATTAGGTTATAGGAGCATCCAACAATTTGCGTAACATTATAAATGAATCGCAAAGCTAATTTTGAATTGCCTATCCGCTTTCCTTATAATTTATGACTTCTTCTCTTCTTTTTGTTATGTTTCTGCTAACTGATTGTGATTCATATCAACTTCACAGCTTCTTACCAGTGGACTACAAGCTTGAGAAGAAACCAGGAATTTTTAGGGCGTATATGCTGAGTTGATAAGTGAGATCAAATAGCAAATTAATAGTTGCTGAAAGACAGGTGAACTAATGTAGATCAGATATGCCCTAACGGCAATTGTATCATTCCCTGTTCTAAATGGCACTCAATCCGTCAAGCTAAGTAAATATTGTCTCCATTATTTGACATTTAATTATTCCTCTGTTAAACCTGGTAGAGGTGTCCATGCTGTGACCTTTCTGGTATCCCTAAGATGTTATCCACATATTCAACTTGCGAGACAAGTTAAGTGAATTGTATGGATGAATCGGCCTTTATTTTATGGATGTAATCTCATGTGGGATGAATGATTTATATTATCTACTCAATATATATCACTCTCCTTTTGGTAATGTTTATTAAAAATGTTTCTTATTATTATTTAGCAGAGGCGAATTTGCACATTGTGAGCTGACCAATTGAAACGTATTCCTATACAGTTGTAGTTTGACAATACTTGGTGCTCATAATTGGAACAGTGAACCACGAATATCGGTGTGCCGCTGTGCCCCTGAAATACTGTTTGGGATCTGTAAACAGAAACACTGGCACAAAATTAGTATCGGATTTGCCACCGGGTCATAATAGGAATAATGGTGCAGTCCGTCCGTACCCTACCTCATAGTATAAACCACACATTGGACTTTGTCGGCCGCACGCCAAGGATTGAGTACACCTAAATATGCTTTGGGCAAACACTCCGACTGATTGTATTGATAGGTCAAGGATGGAATGTGGCGTAACAAATCAGAAAGGCGGCTATGCAGGAAATTACACCTTTCCTTTTGGTCCTAAATGGCAATGTTTTGGCCGCCGCGTCCTGCAGTGAGACTGTCATGTTCATCGGTAAAAATATCCAGGAATCCCAATGCAACAACTTCGCATAACCGACGACATCTTGGATCCGAGAAAACTACTTTGCCTTTTGGGATTTCTTGGTGGCGAGAATGATCTAACCTTAGGTCGATGCAGACGCCTCGACAGCTTGACTCATCTCTAAAGTCTGGTTTTGCTCTCTCTCTCTCTCTCTCTCTCTCTCGTGTCTGTGTATGGTTTCTTGACTGTGTTTTCTTCAAGTGAAGCTTCTTTTGGATAACTATATTCCTTTTAAAAATGTTTTAAACGTCCTTATAACTTCAATGATCTATTCTTTTTAGATATTATATTAGAGAGCTACTCCAGGTCACCCTTCCTTGCAGCAGATCCTAACAGCTTCCAGGATCCTCGTGGTAGGGGAGAACATCAAGGTGAGATCCTCGCCGAGCTTTTTCTGTTTGCCATGCCTGGTAATGCCTTGAAAATATTTTAACAGTCAACACCAACTACAGGATAGACACCATGTCAGACTGCTTCAGTTATGAAGGTTTTGAATGTGATTGATCAAATAAGTTGCATGGCACTATTTTCTAACCTGTAACATGTTATTTCCGTAATTTTTGCAAGACTGTTTGTAGAATAACTTTTATAGGTCTATAGAGTATATTGCACTTCAATAATCTCTGTGAGTGGTTGAGTTCCTGGAAGGCTTTTTCTAGTTTTTGCTCCTTGTACCTTTTACTGCTGCTCTTTGTTTTCTGCTTCACCACAATAGTATAACCTTTCTTCTTCCTCTCGTTTTTCTTGTAGGCTCAATCGCTCCATAGGATAGAAGTTTTTGTACATAGTTTGTGCAAGTGAAGTTATTCAGATTTTGGAGTAGTTATTCGTGCACGCTGGCGGAATAATGTGCTGATTTGCAGATGAAAAGTCGTTCGCTGCTGCTCAGAAAAGCTGTAGTTGCTTTGTTTTTTGTTAGTGTTGTGGACATCTTTGATAGAAAATTAGAGGTTTTGCTAGTAATGCTTGTAAATGGTAAGACTGTTTTGATAACGCCATGGTATTTTATCATCTTATATAGAATAGCTGAAAGCTGATTGGTATTTTTTTTCAGTGAAAAATATGGCAGGGAAAAAGTTTAGATTAGAGGCTTAAATTAAAGTTGGAATGGGTTTTTTTCGAGTCGACTGGACCTACGTCAAAGCTAGCTTCTGTTAATATGATGATGACCTTTAATTATTTTCCATGTCGAAGCAGAATTACCATTAATTATTTTCATCCATCAAGAGATCACTGAATCTAACCGTTGTTACAGAACCTAATCCATCATCTTAGCTCCACAAATCCACAAACGAGGGACTGACCACTGAGGTAGGAAATTTTGCTGCTTTGTTTGGAGCCATGATGAAAAATGTCGATCTTTGATCTCAAATGTTTCATGCCTAACAATATATGCTAATATTAAGCAAGGAAGGTCTTGAGTTAAATTGAATTCCCCGCCGAGGCAAATCCCTGAAATTGTTCATCATCAACATTATCGTACAATGGTAACCGGGGTGGCCCTCTGAATCCTGCAGCAGTTGAGTTACTCGGGACCTGTCCTCAGCGCAGTGTCTAGATCAGCAATCAAATCATTTACATCTTCAATTCCAACAGAAATTCGAACAAGATCCTCAGTTAAACCCCTGGCTTCGCGTACTGCTGCAGGAATGCTTGCATGGGACATAAAGCAAGGCAAGCTGATGAGAGACTTGACACTTCCTGTCAAATAATGAAAAGAAATGTCAATGACAAAACAAGGTACACAATAGCCTCTTATCTTACCCAAAAAAAAAAAACACATTTTGTAAAACCATCCCAAAAAAAAAAAAAAACTTTTTCATTTTCTTTTCTGGTCCCCATAAAGCAATTTTACAACTGTTAGATAGTTAACTTGTCATTCACATGTGCGTCCGTAACATGGGGGTCATTCAAGTCACCACCGTTATGCCTTATCCCATTTAGAACCCTGCCATGCCGGGCACAAGATGCATTTGGCTTGCACTATAGTTAATTTAACTATCAGATAATACTCTGCAAATGATCTCTATAAACAAAAATATTTCTACTGATTTAAGCATCAATCACTCAAGCAGCAACAAATCTTGCAATTCAGTTGGACCATACAACTAATACATATTGTATATAGCACATAACCATTACCCAAAGGAAAATAAAATTTTAGCATCACTGCAAGAAACTTAAAGAAAATTGAGAATATTACCAAAACTGACAGTTATGCTGAAGTACTTGGTTGTCTCGGCTACATGTTTAGACAGTGCCAGTGAGCCTGTAAGGAAGCTAAGAACAGAACCAGCACCCCTCGCCTGTAGGAGGCGTAAATATAAGGAAAGATTTACTTAAAAAAAAAAAAAAAAGGAACCCAAAAAAGAATGGGGCTAGGATTTTATATTTAACAGTTTCATTTATCTTGACTCCAACTTTCCACTCAAATGCCAATACCTGAGAATAGTGCAGAGCATGTCCAGGATGGGAAGGAAGACCAGCATAGTTAACCGTCTTCACCCTTGGGTGGGAGGAGAGAAACTCTGCTATTTTTTCTGCATTATCCTGCAAAACACACAGATTTTCCTTTAAAATGTGATCATATTCAGAAAGAGAATATGGCAATCACAGATGCAAAAAAATGAAGCACCTAAAGGATCTTCTTGTATCATTTCCCATTCTCAAAAAGCAAATCCGCAATGGTACTGGGTTTGTTTGGATTAAATTGATTTCAGATAAAATAATTTGCTTCACAAATTTCAACCACTTTTATCTTTCCAGTTACTTTTTTATCTCATATACATCACATTATAAAAAATGCTACAGTAATTATCTCAAATAAATCATCCAAATAAACTCTTATCCAAACAAACTCAGTGCCTTTAGATTAGCATGAATTTCCATTATCACAATATAACTGCTTTAATCATCACTCAAACTCCCCACTTGGCCAAAAGACAGACCATAAGCCCATATAGCATTGCACAACACAACATTTAGAAGAGTACTAAATACAGCAAAACAGCAGATTTGCAAATATCTAGCAGATTGTATATACAGCTTGGTATTACAGAAAATTATCACTGAAATGCTTGGAAAATGTTTTTCAAAACAAAGTTGTGGGTATGAGCAATTTCAAGGTTTGATAAATACGCTTGGACAAGCACTATGGTTTAACGTAAACATAAGATGCTAATAAAGGATGGTAGAGAAACAATCCAGAAAGGAAAGCTAACAGTGACATGCATCGAATGCCCAAAACATATCATCAAATACTGCACAAACAGATAGATGAGCAGCACCTGCTGCTTCTCCACACGCAAGGCCATGGTTTTGATGCCTCTTAAACAAAGCCAGCAATCAAATGGAGCCAATCCTGAGCCTTCGGCATTTTGTAGAAAATACAAGCTCCTTGCTAAGCTGGAGTAGACAATATGAAATGCACAACCACTTTATCAATTATTGACAAGGAACACGAGATATGCAACATACCATGTCAAAACAAGCATAACCTACCAACACAGGAAAACACATATACAGAGAGAGAGAGAGAGAGAGAGAGAGAGAGAGAGAGAGCAGACCCAACTGGCTGCCTCCTTTTCAATTAGGGTTAGCACAGAGGTTCACCGCTCTTCTAAGACTTGTATGTTAAAGATTTCTCTTTCAAGAAAACCAAATAAAAACTATACACATTATATAATGTACAAGCAAAAGCTTCAAAAGCTAAGAATTTAGATGCATTCTGAATTCTAACTCTGACCAAGTTCTAGTCCTAGGTTAACTACGTTCCACAATAAATGCAAAGTCTCTGGATGACCAAGAAAAGAGGTTCCTCCCTCATCTAATAATTGTTTATGAATTCCTGCTGGAATTTTGAATACGTTTCATGGAATGAATAATTACTTTCCATATTGGATTAATGCAGTTGATTCTAGATTGTCAATAAAAGCTTCTGAAGCAAAGACTTTAAGTGCATCCCGGCCTACAAATCTCCTACAAATCTCCAAGCCAATTCTAATAATGGATCAAGGTATGTTAATGTACATCAAAAATGTTCAAGCTATATGACAATCAGCAAACATATAACCACTCAGATATGTAGAACCTAATGCAATTTTCATCGTGATTAGAACTTCAGAAAAGGGAAAACCTTTCGTCTTTAATTGCTAGTACACCAGCCATTAGATCACTGTGGCCCGCAATAAACTTTGTTGCAGAGTGCATAACAATATCTGAAATTTGATAAAACCATCAACAATTTATCCCTTTATCTAAGACTCAACAAATGCAATGAGTACCTGCTCCAAGTTCAAGGGGTTGAGATAAGACAGGGGACATAATGCTGTTGTCAACCAATAGAAGAGCACCATTTGCATGAGCCATCTCAGCTATTTTCTGTAATGCAAACAAGAGGGTCAAAAAGGAGATAAAAAGGATTACTGCTTGTTAGACAGGACCCCTCTTTTCATGGACAAAATTTATACTAACCCCAGAAGCTCAAAATATAGACAAACTGAAAACTGTAGAGAAAGAGTTGGCATTTCAACATAAAAATGACTTACGCGAATATCAGAAATTTGTTGACGAGGATTTGTCGGACTTTCCATCCAGACAAGCTTTGTCATAGGGCTGATCGCAGAAGAAACCTCATCTAAATTAGCTGTATCCACTCGCCTGCAGTAACCCAGATGATCAAACTAGTTGCAATTTGTAATGGACAAAGCTATCCAAAGAGATGCAATACTAACTTAACCAGAACTCCTGTCTTGGGTATTACTTGTGACAACAGTCTATCTGAACCACCATACATATCATCTCCAGCAACAATCTCCTCACCTATTCTCAAATTAAGGCAAAATACATAAGAAAGAAATGTTTGCTTGCTTTAACCACTACATAAAAACCACCTACAAGACAAGAATGGAACAAAAATCAAATGGATGGCAAACATTACTCATTTGATCATAGCTATATAAACATACACAAACTGCATTCTACAGAGCTAAAGAACACTCGGCGCAGAAACATCTGATAAGATACAAATATGTGCTGACCAGCATACAAAGAGGAAAGAGAAAGTACCAGTTCCAACAAGATGGGTAACAGCCGACAAAGCAGCCATTCCACTTGTAAAGCACAAGGCTCGATCTGCTTTATCAAGCTTAGCCAAGAGTCTGTGTACAAAGGAAATTATGGGAACAGCAAAGAGGGAATATTTCATTAATAACATCAAATAAAAATCCATCAAATAGAGGTCAGAACCTTTCTAAAGCATCTCTTGTTGGATTTCCACTCCTTGTATAATCATAAGGGCCATACTCTGTTGCTGAAGGCTGCAAAACAGGACATATTAAAGTTCAGAGGATATATACAACTTGAAACATGTCAATGATAAGCTTGATTTAGTATCTGCAGGTATCTGATGTGCGATAGCATGAAATGCAAATCAAGTGCAGAAGGACCTAACTATGGCAGGATCTGCAAAGGACAGGATTCATGCAACCTTCACCATGTTGTGGAAACATTATGTCCAAAGATTGATGGAAGTTGAAAACGAAAACACGAGTAAAATAGAAAAACTTCAAGCATAACCTAAAATTTGAGCGAGAATGTTATCAAAAGAATAGCTTTGATTTAAAGGAGTCCCCTTTGATCATCAACCATCCATGAGAAATACCTGCTTGAAAGTTGCTGTTTGGTACAAAGGCGTGCTCAAGGCTTCGTAGGGATCAAATTCGTTAGCAAAATTCATCAGCATTGTGGAGACACTTGGCTCCCTCGGCTCCCCTTCTTTAACATCTATATCTGCCATTAGATGATAATTCAAATCAGCAATTAATATAACTACAATGGGCAACATTGGAAATGGCACAAAGGTTGGGGAATATAGACCTGTTAAATGGTCAGCAATGCCATCAACAAAAGCTGATGCACTGACATCTATGTCTTTGTCTCTTGCACAATGCAGTGCAAATGTCTTGGAAATCAACGAGTGATTTTGCTTCCCAAAACCAGACGTATTGCACCTGAAACTCCCTGGTTTAGTCCCAATGCCCTGAGAATCAACATAGGTTTCAATCAGAAGACACGTTTAAAATACTTTAACTGAGATGCATGGCATAGATCGCACTACCAAAGGTAAGACATATTAGATAACACAATCTAAAGTACAAATTCTCTTGATTTTGTTACGATGCTAAATTTGAATTATTATTGGGGTATTTTTATAAAAACATAATTATTGAGGTCATTTGTTTTGCATCGTTTGACGAATTTAGCGCACCATTGACATGATGTATCACAGGCACATGAAATGGTATTACAAATTTTTAGGTTAATTCAATTATGGTCAATCTAGGCCATGACCACATGTTGGTAATAGTTGCGCATAAGAAAATGATTCTTTGAAGAAATAATTTGTCCAATTAAAACGAAGTTTTACAATGTAAAAAAAAGAAGAACGAACAGTACACAATGTGTTACAACCAGTTAGAGATATATTACTGTTATGCTACAACTAGTTACGAATGTTTAACAGACATGATTAATATCCAAATAGGGTAGGCAATTTGTTTGAGTAGAAATTATAATGAGTATAGTTTTATCGCTATCCTAACGAACATTGGATTACATCCTTTGTTATCAGTCGTATCCCATACAACACCTGGGAACGCCGTCATGCATTGGACAATCGGGTGTACCTTTGAAAGTCATCGTCGCTTGATTCAGTAAAGTCAGAAAGGTCCGAGTCGGATATAAGCTTGAGATCTGCTAAAATGTGCTGAACATCAAATTCTTTTCCAATACAATGTCTTTTTGCAGCCTGGATCTCGTGTAACCTGTGAAGTCTACGCTTCATCTGTATAACTTCTCGCTGTAGTCTATGTAATACGTTTGCATCATTGGCTTGTCGTCCTACAACAAGATTTGCTGACCTTGTTCTTGGGACGCGGAGGCTATGCCAACGACAAAATACCTCTACTTCCATTCTTCGCTCACGAACAGGCTCCCATATAGGTTCATGGTCCATAACGAAATAACCAGATGGTAAATGATCGTCGACGCCATTTTTATAAGTGTGGCCAGTTAGTCCCAAAGAGTTGTTGGTGTTAAGTGGAGCGTTCCTGAATTCACGTTTAGTACCATATAAAATCTTCCCATCTGGTGTTTCATACTTGTTTATGACATTTGTTGGATCCAACGATACTTTTCGTCTTTTTTGCTGAATCTTTGATGGTGAGCTTGTATGAGATCCTTCGTTTGTGAATTGCATGACTATGCTAATATCTACTACTTTTTGGTTAAGTGAAAGGAAGGATCTACTGATAAATAATTAGGGAGGAGATACCAAAGATGTAGAAATTTTTAACGGAGCACCTGTTTCAGAGCATGCATAGTAAATAGTATCTTTTGGCAATGTGAACAATATAGATACTGTGTCATTTCATGCTATTCTCCACAAGATAGTACTCCAAATGTGAGTAAATAAAGGCATGGCAACCACCTATTAACGAGAGAATAGACTTAACGTTTGGTCAAATGTATAGTGTGTGGATGAAATAATGGTTCAATTCGATCCAGTTAGGTAATAGTAGAGGGTTCGGCCTTTAATATGGTTGTCAAGAGACCGAATAAACCTTTAATATGTTACACCTTATTCATGTGATTGTACACAAACCAGCGATGTTTCACTCTGTTCAAACTTAGACAAGTGGGTTAAAATTGTATTAAGAAGAGTAATACAATTGGCAAATAGAGGCACTTGAATAGATATATATTACCATTAAAACGCATTATGGTGTTTCAATAGTATTACACGAGCACATGTAGGTAATTGTTTCGCTGATGAACATGATAGTACTAGGGGACAACTACTTACCCATGTTTAATGTAAGTTTTATAATACAAAAAATAGTCATAACGGTGAAGGTGAATGAGTTACAACCTGTTAGGTGTGTATTACAACATGTTACAGCTATTGTTATTACAACTAGTGATATTACAGCTACTGATTTTACATTCTATTATACAGTGATATAGGAACTAGTTGAGATACGATGAACTGTTAACTAATATTTAAAATGCAACAAATTATCATTACGACATGTACATAATGAGTTACAACCAATTAGGTATATGTTACAATTGATTACAACTAATGAATTTGCAATCGGCATTTTTTCGTCTTCTCTAGTTATAATTAGTGATATTACAACTAGAAATTTTCTGATGTTGCAGCTAGTGATACTACAACTGTTTAATATCCAATGAACCTTTCCTCTTCTCTTGTTTGTGCAATAGCACTTTGCACAAACAAAAATTCCTCCCCCCGATTCATTAAACTTTTTAGACACTTTATTAAATGTCTATTGACAATATAGAGATGATCGTTTCGAACCCCAAAATATTTGATGTAGCGAAACCTTCTCAAACATCTTATTAAATTAACGAGATCTTCTCGAACATTATGCAACCCATTGGCTGCTATTTGGCACCCAAGAACTTGATTTCTGTATGAAAACTCTACTGATGACACTGCAATTGAAGTTAGAGAAGGGTTGAAGGCTACTAATAATAAATTTCAGGCACAGGTCCATTGCCACCCTTCAGTAGAATGAAATAGGAAGTGCGAAGTGGAATAAAATGGAGAATGTTAGCAGTAATGAAAGGTGGACGGAAAAATTTTTGTTGTTGAGGGATATACTACTGCAACCGCGTCCTTTTATAGTGCGCAGGACCCTCACAATGTGTTAAAATATCAGAGGCCAACGTATTCCAGGCCAACAATTTCGTTACGATTGTGGAAGCTGTAGAGTCACATGCAGCTGGTGAGCATCTGTCAATTTAGTTCAGACTTTCGGGAACATTTTTTGCAACTTTTATGACGAAATGACCAGTACACCAAGATATAAGTTCACGTGCATACAGAGTTACACGTCAGTGACCCTACTTTTTCAATATGTGCATATAGAGTTACACTCTACACGTGAATAAGAAACCTTCTGCAATAGGTTCTCGGCTGCAGAATCAGATATGTAACACTGTATGGTCTTGGTCAGTTTATGACCCAAATTTACTTCCTCAGTCTGCTATTCGTACCTCCTTCTGCTCCAATGCTTTAGTAGACATTTCCAATTCGACCTTTAATTTTTTGATTGTTGTAACTCAGAACGAACGAAACAGTAACCAAGAACGTACGAATTGTAATAATATATGAACAACCTTAGGTTAATATTTTCAAAAAATATTGGACTATATTTTTAGTACCGATACTCTTGATAAGGGTTACGTCGTGTTGTTAATCAGTATCAGACAATAAAACAAATTTTGCAACTTTTATCTTGAAATGACCTGTACCCCAACATTAAGGGTACCGATGTGAATACAGAGTTAAACATCAGTGATACTCAACATGTTTTGTACAAAACCTCACAATCAGATCAATTTTTTGGCCCAAAGTCAGATGTGTAAAACTGAATGCCCTTGGTCATTTTAGAACCCAAATTTGGAACCTCTGTGAGCATCTCCTTCTACTCCTTTCTATTTGAGATTTTCAATTTGACCTTTAATTTTATGAATGTTATAATTCAGAATGACCAAAGCTGTAAGTAAGAACGCACGAATTGTAACATTCTACAATTGAGTTAACCATTCGTGAATCATTATACAATTAATACGTTTAATGCTATTATTTGTCATTAACACAGAACAATTGAACATCACAAAATGGAAAGTTAATTGAACAACTCTTGATTTCAAATGTAAGAGTAATCATATAACTTCACAAAAAATTAATTTTCTGTGACTCCACCCGCTTCGTTCAAGTATAAGACCCCTTCTACTGTTTGAAAGTTCTTCCTGATGAACTGCCAAAATGGAAAGGGCAACAGTACAAGGATGTCAGCTACTTTGCCTATAGAGGATCTATCTACGACAAACTACAGTCATAGTCCGCATCATACGGGTCAAAAAATTAAAGTTATGTCATCAAAAAATTGCTATTAGTAGCAACAGAAGGGCGACCGTTACCGATATCGTCATAAAGGTTTTCATTTGTCGAATATCTTGTTCGATTCGGTGCACATGATACGGGAAAGAGTTTGATTCATTTTTCACTGTTCCGGGGCTATCGAAGGAGCTTTCTCTGCTTATTACTTGTTGATTAGGTGAGGGGGGGCAATAGTTAGTCTGAACTTGCACATGATTCCTCCCTATTGGATGACACCAAGCGAAAAAAGCACAAGCTTTTCCTTCATGGACGAAGTACAGCAACCCCTTTGTTGGTTTCTGTGACTCCACGATCTTTTGCACGGCCCTTTTCCAGCAGTGACAGTGCCGATATTGGTACCTTAACTCAGTGGATCCGCCACCAACATATTGGTAGATGAAGACATTTGAATGCTCTAAAACTCATTTTGGGGCATACAAACGAAAATGTTTCAACCTTCTGATGAAGTAGTGGTTGTGTGTCGATGGGAGCTAACATAGACAAACACAGGTGGGAGTTAATATGAGGCAAGAAACGATATAAGCTAGCAACATAATTTTGGAGAATTATATCAATTTAAGAATAAGTAACATCATTTGCCTACGGTGTGCATTTTGAATAAGCGAGCAATCGTTCCGGAAGCTTGTGTGCATGGTGCATAAGGTGTAACATCATTTGTACACGATGTAACACTAGAACAACAGTGAGTAACACTAAAACAATATTTTATGGGTCCCATACACGTTAAAATCCGACCTTTACAAATTTTGTTAGGCAAATCTTGGCCATTAACTATCTGGGACGGTAACTGTTCCTGCATCTTCTCCCTTTGGATGAGGGTCCCTGCCTTTATTATTTTCGGCGTACAACTTGACAAATTTAAAATATTTGGTGTACATTCAAATGTTTGCACTTCATTGCGCACCGGTTGATTATAATGTCACACACTTCTGTGTTGATAAAAATTATATAAATTTTTAACTATTCGTCTTGGCCCCATGGGTTTTAATATTTGATGTACAAGTAGTTCACCTGCCTTTATACATTCTTCAAAGAAGTGATACACCCATGTTGTAATGGTAGTTACAATCATATAACTTAGCAGAGATCAATTTGTTCGGGTAAGCACCTATGATGTCTCGGGCTGTTGATTAGATATAGGTTTGGTTCTGCTTCAACAATAAGTAACATTATCCATTCATGATAAATGAAAATTTAGAAGCAAATCTCACAGAGTAAATACTCCTACATATTAAAAGGGTAGGTGTTAAAAATGTGAGGGATAAATTTTATATGGAGTGTCGGCTTGATTGTAAAATTCATCAAATTTTATGTAACTACTTAAACATTTGGGGTCTGGTCGCTGTGCTTTGGTAATGTACAATATGTACCTTTATATGTGCTCTATGTATCAGTCTTTTAACAATGAAAGCTAGTCTAAGCCAATCCATGTCAATTCACAATCCTTTCGCATAAAGCATAAAGGCGATAAAAATGAGCATTTTTACAACCAGTGTCATAACGTGTATTGAAATAAGTCACAGACATAAGGCAAGAATTTTGCAGCTTTTACCACGTGCTTTGACTGAGGGTGGGTACTTTAGAATATTACAACTATTTATTTACACTGAAGATAAAACACTTCAAACCTTCTCGTGAGTTGAACCATCTGTTGACGTGATGATACACAACTATTGAGTAACGAGACAAATGCAACGTTGCATTATTTACTGACTTGTTCATATGTCAATTATTTACTGACAAGTTACATCCAAGTGCATAACGAACAAATAGCAGTACAATTGGACGCTTGTTCTATAGTTACACATTGTTGAAGGTAAGTTCCAGTAAGTGCATACAGAGTTACACTCATTGCATTTTTCACAAAACTTATGCTATTGAAGGTAACTATGGTTAAGTGAATGATGTGTAATACTCTGCCCTTGTAAAAGGGCATGTCATTAATGCCTCTGTGTTTTTAGGATTTTCAAGTGATTGGTCTTTATTGTCCATACTCTTCATAGTTCCCATATTACAAGTAGTTGGCACAGAGTTACGACAAATATAAATAAATATACATGTTTGGCTAATGTTATTACTGACAACTGCAGCTCGAACTCTAAATTGTTGGACATGACTTAAAATCACATTTTATGGCCACAACCGATAAATAAACAGCATGATACAAAAAGACGCAAATTTCGTCGCTAATATGGCCAAGTCGAAAAAACTACTGTTTCAAAAGCATCCTTTGCCTATTATACACAAAGAGTCCTAAATTTATA